GCAGTCCGGTTGCGAAAGCGTCAAATCTGGAGTGACGAAAGCCTCAAGAGTCGCCGGCACATGCGTTGTTACGGCAGCAAATCACGCGGCTAATGTCTAGCCTAGCGTTCGTGGTACGACCTTGAGATGGACGAAGGCTGGTGTGGACGCGCGGCCACGGTGAGGCCTGACCCCAGGCGGCAATGGGCGAAGAAGTTTGGAGAAATTGGTCCGCGGTTTTATAAGGAAGAGCATGATAAACGGAGATGCAATCCCTCCACTGAGGCCTAGCTTTGGGCATAGTTTGAAATTGGTTTGCATTATAAGCCCTTGTAGCTTCCATAATTTAGTGTGAACCTTAGGGTGGAAGACAGTTTTTTTAATAATTAACAAGTAAACCGCAAATTATTCAATTTTCCGAAATATATAATCGGAATTGTGCTAATTTCGTAGTTTTCAACATCTTCATATACTGTGGATGCTATCACGTGTTAGAAATTATCCCGACAACAATCACCAGGCTCAACGTTAATTCCAAAAGTGCATTCCAAACATGTGCCCCTTTAGTCTGCTCTCAACAACAAAAGAAGACGTTACCACGAAAGCTATGTCGTTAAATGCATTAAAAGTGTTACTGTCAAATGTTAAAGCCCAAATAACTCTCTCTCCGCTTAATCCTTTTTCTTAGAATAGCTTTACAGTGCAATCTTAAAAAATGAATGTATTTTCATATAGATCGCAGAAGCACTGGTAAAGTAAACTTATCCCGTCTAACCTTTCAGTGGACGGAATCGGGTCCTGGAAACCACCGCAACATGTACAGCGTCAAGACAACTCAGCAACCAGGCCACTCCCGGACCACCAAGCAGCTAATATATAACCTAAAGCACGCTCCCTGTTTCCTGTGAGTGAGCAGTAACAGTAATATTACAGTCGCTTTCAATAGCAGATGGCAACGGTCAATCCACGAGTCACGAAAAAATATGTGTTCTTCCACCGCCTATTTCGGGATCAAACACGAAAGAATTAATTACGTTTGCTAATGTACAACCCGATCGATGCTTTGATATTGAAATAAAATAAAATAAGTAAAATAAGTAGAAGAGAAACCTGACCCCCTCAAAGATGTAACAGCCGCGCTAATAAAGTCCGATAACGTCAAGTGAAAATAGAAGAACACAGAATAAAGTCTTCACATCAAACTGCAGACGTGTTGGGAATACAATTTAAAGGTTAGCATACTTATGATATTGAGGCCGGTTATATGCAAATTGGCCAACCGCGGTCTGCTGCCAGGCGGTCTGCAAAAGACCAAAATAAGCTCTTAGTTACGTCACATAACAGTGATATCGGAGGCCGTGTGAGGGAAGGTTAATCCAACAATAAAGGCGGATACTTGTAATAAACGAGT